GGATTCTGTCATTGTTGCCTGGTCCCAGGATCATTTGAGTTCGTCTCCATTCAGCCTTCACAAGGAGCTGCCTGCAATTAAGCTCCAGTCAGGCATGAATATTGTTTGTTATCTGTGCTCTCACATGACCTTTGCGCTTCCCACCTCCATCCTCTTCTAGCGTGCTGAGCTTATTGGAAAACTTCTTGGCCTCATGAAGTTTTAGTCCAAACGCAGGTAAATTTGGCAAATTGGACTTTGTTTCTCCCCCCCCCCCTCCCCCAGGGTTAAATCCCAAGTTTAAAATGCCAGCTTATGTGGAGTAGGCACTCCAGTTCATTGAGGTGCCTGCATTTAGACATCAGGATGAACTGGAATGTGGTTGAGGTGGGCTCTACACCCTAGAAGAAAAGAGAGAGGGAAGAGTGAGGCACGTGTGCAAGCACCTCAACAAGCTGTGTTCATGCCCGGTTGGAGTTGAATTGCTGCTTGTCATGGCATTAGAATGAAGTGTTCACCTACTGGTTGGTTTAAACTGCATCACTTAGTGAGGATACAGTTGTGGTACAGAATGCGCAGGTTGGTCCAGAGCTTTCCCATGTTAACATTTCCTCACATAAAGAGTTAATTTTAGAACAAGTAGTAAATATGATGACAAACTCCATCCCAATGATCAAATGTTATCAATGTTTTGAAAATTCTGCATGATTTCTTTTTTTCTTCTTCTTTAATTTTTAATGATGGGTACACTTCCACAGAAGAGAAACTGAGGTGAAAACAGAAGTAAAAAGCTACAAAAAACTGAATCTCCCTCTGATGCTCAGTAGTAAAATGCTGTCACAACCATAGGAATATAGTGCTTTAGCCAGATTTTTAATTGTCACAATAAACTAATTTAAGGAATGGGTTTGGATCCTTTGACTCCCTCATGCTGGGTCTTCTTCCATCAGCGCAAGTGGAAAAAGCAGAGACAGAAGGGAGTCGCAGGATCCAACCCAGTGTCTTTGCTATCCATTTTTCCATTGCTGAGGGATTGTTCCATTGGGACATGTGTCACTGTGGGTGATGCAGCTGTAAATCAAGATTAAAATTATGAATTTTGAGTTAATTATGAATTTCACCTGGGAGACATTTCAAAGTTGGTTGGGACTCAGCCACTTTCTTTCTATGCTGGCCTGTACTGGCTTCAGTTCACCGTTGCAGAAGCATGGATGCCCAAGAAATGCTACTTGGAGCAAATTACACCCAATTATAAGTGTAACTGGACTAAGAAATATGAAATTATACACTGCTGATTGTGGATTGTTTAATGGTGACTTGAAAGCTCTTCTTGATCTAAGTAAGAACAGAATTAAAAGGAAGAGTAAGGGCCAAACAGCACGAGTTGTTTTTCTAATGAGTTGAGTCTGGGTTCCCCATTATAAAAGGTCTCACATAGTTTGGTCCTTAGGCCGTTCAAAATAGGATATTCAATATGTTTAGAACATGAGATTCTCAGGGGGTAGCATTTTAATCGCACTATACAACCATACTATACAGCCTTGGCGGGAAGGGCGGGGTATAAATCGAACTAGTAAATAAATAGTTGTAACATTTTGTGCTCAAAGGAGAGTATTCACTACCGTCAGTTTTCAGACTTTGCCTTTGGCTTGTGTGAATGGAAGATCGTAAAAAAAGTCCTAATCCCATGAGCATCTGCCTTTGCATTTACGGCTCAATCTTACTTATATTGGAGCTGCGGTGGCTCAAGTGGTTAAGACGCTGAACTGCGGGCTGTGAAAGGTTGGTAGTTCAGCAGTTCGAGACCCAAGTTGCTGCATGACGGAGTGAGCTCCCGTCTCTAGTTCCAGCTCCTGCCAACCTAGCAGTTCAAAAGCAAGAAATTACAAGTAGATAAATAGGTACCACTTTGGTGGGAAGGTAACAGCGTTTGCACCTTGGTGTTTAGTCATGCCGGCCACATGACCACGGAAACGTCTTCGGACAGCGCTGGCTCTTCGGCTTTGAAACGGAGATGAGCACCGCAACCCTAGAGTTGGATTCGAGCAAGGGAACCTTTACCTTTACCTTACTTATATTGGTCACTGTATGAAAGCCTCAGGGAAAGGTTTCTTGCTGCTATTCTGCTAAGAATCCCAGCTAGAAAGGAATACATGAAAAAGGCTGTTTACTAGTGATAGTGTTATAATATACATATATACATGCTGTAATATACCTATACTTTCTTTCCTTTCTCTTACTGCTCATTCGACCCAGTGGTCCCAAACAGCCACTGAGAGTTTATGTTTAAACAACTAAAAGAAAGCTACCTGCATAATGGGATCTCCCAACAGAATATGGTAGTTTTATGCAGTTGTTTTAGAATGTTTCAGTGTTTCTACAGTGGCAGCCAAAAACCTAGCAACCCCATATGCAACCCATCCATCTATGTTGCACAGTAGCATAGAAGTCTCAGCAGCTGGAGAAGCAGAGTCCTTACTGAGGAGGGGGAGATCAGCTCCTGTCTTAAGTTTTTAAAATTCAGGGCAGCTTAAAAACACAGTCAATGGATTTAATGCAATTAAGGTCACAATTACACATTTTCTCTGAATACAGAATGCAAACATATGTACCTGTCAAGGCTGTAGATGGTAAAGAGTTAAGACGCGCCAACATAAAGGCGTGTCTATATTTAGGATATGTTAAATCACACAGTGCCAACCGTGAAGGTTGAGTAAGCTCTTCTTGACCTTATTGCTGTACTTTTATAATCCAGATGTTTCAGGTGAATCTCAATGAGATGTCTTAGCTTATTGACATTTACTCTCCCTGTCAATTCTATCGAAATCCCTAGGAACATTAGCTTGTCATTCATCAATTTATCCCAGTTGCTCTTATGATTGTCCAATTTAATAAGACTGAGCAAACTTCGCTCTGGATCTGGTTGCAGGATCTTTAACTTTAAATTAAATGTCCTGCTCCATGCCTAGTTTTGTAAAAGACTTCACCCACTTCAACTCTTAGAACAACGCCGGCCACACACAAAGTTAATTAGCGGTTGATCAATATCCTCAGTAACAGCCTCTATCCATACACCAGCCGCATATAACAAATGGCCAGCTACCTTAGAGTTAAATCCTCTGAGTGCTGAAGGTACATATTGTCCCTAGAGGTATTTTTCAGATTCAGGAAATATTTGGGAAACCCGAATGTTTTTGCTCCATTATACCCTATGGGGACCATTATAGTCAATGGTCTTAAGGTAAATTGCCTTGGCGTGGGTTCTTAATTCTTCAGCCTTCATCCCTGTAGTTTGGCTCCAGCGCAAATGTCTAAGTTTACCATGAGTTTGCCTAAACTGCAAGGACTCTTGAGATGGATAATCAGCTTTACCTGGGACCAAAAGGACCATTTCTAAAAGGAGATGGTCAAACCCCCCCCCCCCCCCGAATTTACTTGCTCCAAGAAATTCAATTAAGCCAAACAATTCAAAGGAAACAATAAAATAATAACACTGGCACCACAGCGGTTTACACATGCATAATCCCCACAGTCATCAATTTGGGGGCAACTGTTGAGAATCTTCAAATCATTGTTAGCTATTGTCGGGCTGTCGCTGGTCACCTGCAGGGACCCCTCCCTCTGCTGTGGTTCTGGGTTGCAAAAAGGGGCTCCTGGGGTCTCAGAATGCAGGTGAGAGACCTTGGCCAGCCAGCGACAAGCACTCTTCACAGTCTGACCTCTCTCTCTGGTAACATCAGGTTTCACTCCCCTGTTTTTCCACTCTCCCCAGTGGTCCGTCAGCGTGTCTGTCAACTCAGGTCCCTCTCCCATTGGCCAAGGGTGTCCGCTCCCTTAAGCCCGTTGTCCCGCCTCCCACCTGTTCTGCCTCGGGCAAGGTCGGCGTCCTCCACTGGAATACATTTTTGTAGACTAATCAACAGCTGTCCCTTAACATATAAAGGGATCCCTTTCATTGTCCTCAAATCTCTGTACCTTAATATTTTCCAGAGGAACTATTAAATTTTGCAGTCTTGGAAACATATTATTTTGCTCAGAAATGGGAAGTAACCCGAAAGATGCCAACAGATAGCTTTCAAAATCCTCCGGGTGAGACTGCACATTTTCCTTTGCAGGTGAGCTAACCAGCAAAGCAATCTTCCTCACCTCAAGAGATGGGGGGAGTTCAAATCAATCACCATATCCTGATTCTCTGGTGAGCTGGGAGGTCAAACTAAATGCCTCGTTTTGAGGATTAATCTTAGGGCACTCCTTAGTCATGATTTGCTCTGTCTGTAACCAGTGTTCCCTCTAAGCTGAGTGAGTGTGAGCTAGCTCACAGTTTTTTAGCCTCTGGCTCACACATTTTTGTCTTTGCTCAGGAAGGATGGGGCTCCAGAGCAAACTAACTGATGCAGCAGCCAACTCGCTCGCTCACAACTTGAATGCCAGCAGCACACAAAGTAGAATTTTTGCTCACAGGACTCCACAGCTTAGAGGGAACATTGTCTGTAACCCCCCTATTTATTACCTGTCTAAATTCCTTTCTTATAGATGGCATAGGAAAAAATGGGATCCTTGCGCTTTGAACAAAAGCTTGAAGATCCCATATGTTTTTAACAAATCCCACCTTAAGAAAATTAATGACGGAATCTTTGAGGGGGAAAATTCTACCCAACCCCCTCCCCGGAAACCTGGGAATCCTTGAAACATACCTTAAATTAATTGGTTTAAAGTGGCGGCACAGAAGAAAAGCAAGGTGTCCTTTTGCCATCTGCTTTGTCGCCCAATTAATGATATGTCCCATACATGGAATAATATTTGGAACAACTGTATTGTGTTCCGGATGTAAGAGAGGCCATCTCTGATGTACCTTAGTTGTTTTATTGAGATTGTTGATGTTTTTTGTACCCCGTTACTTCAGTCATGATATCAACTGTATTTCTTTTAATTGCTTTACTCTTATTTGTAATTTCTGCCCCCCCCCCACCTGCAAATTAGCCAGGAAAACCGGAGATTGATCTGTTAGAACACCTGAAATTTAGGAAGGCCTGAAATTGATCTGATAACAAAGTGTCTGGGATAAGTCTAAATAGCTAGATAGATAAAACGACTAAAATAGAACTGAAAATATTAACACATAGAAGCACAAACCCAAAACACAACACAACTGCCCCATAAGGGCGGTTTTATAACAAATAAAATAACAACAAACCAAACATGTAAATTAGCATAACACAAATGAGACAATAAAAGGAGAGAAGAAAACTCTCTCCCTCCTAACGGCCAACAGCTGGATAACTAATTAAGCTCATGTTTTCCAAACCAGAGGGGGAAATCATTCCAGCTGACCAAGGACAGCTGCTTCAAAAGAAAAACAACTGCTCTTCAGTGATTCTCACCAGAAATGCCTTGTAATACATAACATTGGTCCCACGGGCACGGGCCGGCGGGGGGGGGGCGTGGCTGTTTGCCCCGGGGCAAAATAACACGCGGTTGCACGAGCAGACGTCCCGTGGAGGTCCCAATCACAGGACAATCCTGCGGCGCTGCAAAGAAGCGGGGCAAGCGGGGTTG